CAATGAATCACTCAATCAATCAATGAAAGAGAGAGAGAGAGAGAGAGAGAAAGAGCGAGAGAAAGAGAGAGAGGGAGAGAGAGAGGGGGAGAAAGAGAGAGAAAGATTAAAAATGCTTTCTAGGACATAATAGACTTTTATTGACACTTACTTAGAAAGTAAGACTAGAGAAAAAAAACACAATACAATAAAAATAGGACCTTTTCATACTGCATGCTAGTAACATTACTATGAAAGCATAATATGATATGGATTTTTTTACTTCATTTGGTGTGTGAATGTATGGTTATGCAAAATTAATATTTGATCAATCAACTAATTAATTAATCAATCATTTAACCAGCTACCCAACAGATAAATCAACCAACCAACCAACCAACCAATCAACCAACCAACCAACCAATCAACCAACCAGCCAATCAAACAAACAAGCAAACAAGCCAACATATATTTGAATAGAAGATAAATCAGTTGTGAGACCATCTTCAACAACATCAATCAGTCAAGTTGGCAAACTGTCAATCAACCAGCCATAAATCAACTTACATTCGATTGTATATAGGCCCAGCCAGCTTTGAGACCATCTTCACCCTTGTCAGAACTCTTGTAGTTACTAACCAATCCTAATTTCAGGTCGCTGGCTAAGTAGTTATTGATCTCCCATCTGTAGACAAATATCAGCACAGCTGCCACTATTTCTAACATAAAAGTCAGGGCTACTAGGATGAAATACTGTGGGGGTGAATTTTTGAGATTTGTTATTTTATTTTTTATTCATCAAAATCACTTCTTCTGAATAATAAACAATTTAAATAATAAATAAAAAAATGAATATAAATAACTTAAGTTAATAAATTGAAAAAAACAAAATTGAAAAAAATGAATAAAATAATTGAAAAAAAAACTTTTCCTAGACTAACCACCAAGAGGAGACATTTATTTTCCATTAAAGATCCGCAGCAGCCAAAGAACCCAATTAGGAGAATCAGGGTCCCCACACAAATCAGCAAAAATGTAACGCTAAAGAAATTAAATGACGTCGACAGTGTTACATAGGAACCTTTTGAAACCTGCAGCCAGATTCCAATGCCCAATATGGCACAGCCTAACAACTAAATTAAAAATATTAATTGATCAATTAATTTAATTATTTATTATATAATAATTATATTTTCAAGTTTTGCTGTTTATTTGGAAAATAAGTTTATAATGTATATTTTTAATCTTTTAAAATATTACTATTCCAATTTATTAATATATTTATTATTTAAAAATACTATTTAAATTACATTTAAATTACTATTCCACTATTATTCAAAATAAATATTACCACCAAAATATTATTTGACATAAATATCTCATTAAGTATTATTATTTATTGTAAATATTTTTTTGTTTAATTAATTAAATTAAAAAAAAAATAAAAAAATAAAAAAAAAGGAAACTGACCCAGAAAACGACGTTGAATGCAAAAAATAGGAACTTGATGCAATTGTAACCTTTGCCCTTGCCTCTCCCTCTGCCAAAACCACGTCCACGGCCAGTGCCCAATCCGGATCCCAACCCCATTTTTCACAAACTTTGTATTTGAAGAAATGAGAAATTTCAAAAAAAAAATTAATTTTAAATCGAATTAACTGTTTTATGAATAACTTTCACAAACGATAAATTATTCTTAATACAGAAATAATTTATCTATAAATATTTCAACCAAATTAAACGCGTGCTTAAGAAAAAAAGAAGAAATTTGAAGATGAAAAAGAATGAAAACGAACGTGGATCGATGTTTATATAAAAGTGGTGAATTTTAAATTCAGGGATCGACAAGTACAAATATTTGAGTAAATTTTTAATTTTTTGACTAGTTTTATATACGGTTTGATATAGTTTTCTGATTTATAACATATTTTCACACATTTGTCAAAATATTTTTTTTATTAAATAGTGCTTCAAATCATCTGTTCATATAATTGAAAACACTTTAAAGCCGATTTTATCGAATAAACAATCTACAAGAACGATTTTTATAATAGAAATACACTAAAAATAATTATAAAAATTATTGCAAATAGTTTAACATAGAATAAATTAACCTAAAAATCAATTTTAAAGCCTTTTTTGGTGAAAATAAAAATTGAAAAAAGCACACTCATTCACTAGGTGTCCAGATAATTTTTGTAATAATATGTCCGCTGTTCGGCTGCATGGTTGCTGCTACGGCAATGATGGTAAACATTGCCGAGAGATTTTTTTTCTTATTTAATTTTAAATGTTTAATAAATTTGCAAAATATTATTTAATTAGAATATAGTTGGTGTAAAAAATGTAAATTTCGATCAGTGTGATTAATTTTGCAAAAGATTTATTTTGACAGCCAAACTGCATATTATAATTTATATTTAAAAAAGATTGAAAAAAAAAATTATCAAAAAAAGGTTTTTTAAATTAAAATTCTAGAATACTAGTGGGCTTGCACATAAAAACTTTAAATTGTGTTAGTTTTGATTGAGTTACTTTTAAAACCATTTAAAAATTGCTGTAAAACATTAAATTGCAATCAAAATTTTTTGTTTTTTAATAATTTTTTTAATCATTTCATTGATTAATATTAATTGATTATTGCCTGATTTATTAATAAACTAATTGAAACAGACCAATTAGTGAGATCAGAAATGGCAGTTTCTGCAGATCAGCAAAGGGTCAAAACTCTTTTGACAGAAACAATCATTTTACTATGCAAGAATGGCCTTCATTTCAAAGATGAGTTTACAGTTGAAGGCCTGATTGGCATAACAATTGACAAGAATGACGTTTTTTTAATCAACATCAAAGAGACAATTGGTCTAAATCAGCCCAACTTGAACAACATAAGCATTCGTTTGGACAACACACCCCACATGAAAAGACCACTAATGAAGAAAAGGCGTTTTCATTCTACCTACATCATGCAAAATGTCAGGCACACAAATGACTCAGAGACCGCTAGTGACATCGAAAATCCGTTAAAAACAGCAGACGATCTCAACATATCTGCATCATCATCCTTGTCCTTGTCATACATCAACCACAGCAACCCTAATGCCAGGCAACTTCACTTACAACAACATCAACAGAAATGTCTGAATAACAACAACTGTAATAATAATAATAATAATAATAATAATAACACCCAAGATATTAATGAAAACCCAGTAGATTTTTCTATATCTCTCAACTCGAGTAAAGATACATCCTTCGATTCGTGCAAGTATCAGGACACACTAAACAGCAATAACAACTTCAATGATGTCAATAACATAGAATCAAAAAACACAGGCATGCATACCCCAGAACTAAATAAAATTGATCTAGACAATTCTTATCAGAACAGTCAACAACAGCAGAGTCATCACTCTCAATATCATCGGCACTACGACAACACACACAACAACAACAATACAGATACCAACAGCACACAATCACAATTTCAAATTTACACGGATAAAAATGATGACCACGAATACAAAGTAACTCATTACAACGACAGCGCTAACGCAAACACCGACGACAGCCGTGTAAACATCAATAGCATCAACAACATTAGCAATCTAGATCATTCTATGTCGCAGAATGACGTCATCAACCACCACAACGTCAACAGTAGCAACGAAGATGACATCATTAATGACAAAATCATCAACAATCATTTTGACAATAACGTTTGCTCAAAGTCGATTCAAAATCACTCAACCCCACATATATCATCCGATTGCGAGATGGCCCAAGCAGTAGTTATCAAAGAGGAACTAAATGACATTGAACTAAACTCACAACATTACAACAACAACAACATCAGCAACAACATCAACAACAACAACAATATGCGCCATAACAATAGCAACAGTCTACATAGTAATGTTGTCAATAGTTGTCAATCAGGTAACATATATAATATATATATATATATATATATATATATATATATATAATATAAGTTTTCTGTGCATGTTTGTTTGTTTGTTTGTTTGTGTGTGTGTGTTTGTATGTCTTAATTAATTTTAAGAGGCACCAACAACACTAGAGCCAAGAACATCAATAGTTACACCATACATCTGCCACTGATCTACTTTTTTGATTTTGTTTATATTTCTGTATCTCATTTATTAAATTATAGTTATAGCGAAAATAATTATATAATTTACGAATAGCTATAATTTCTTTGTTACTACTTTTAGGTTCCATCTCAGGGCAGAAACCGCACAGGCGAGCCCGCCATCCTAAATCTCGTCGCTACTCCCTAATTGACGGTTCCTCCTTGGACCCCCACAACTATCAGCTGTTTCACGATCAGGCTGTAAGTTGTTGGCGATGCTTTACTTTCTTTTATCTTTATTGCTAGATCAATATTTTTTTATTTATCATCATTTCTCATTGTATTTACTCTCTCTTTTCTCTCTCTTTTTTTCTGTATTTCTTGCTTTTTCTCTTTCCATTTATCTCTCTCTCTCTCTCTCTCTCTCTCTATATATATATATATATATATATATATCCATATGTAAACATATAATTAGAAATTTTGAAATTCATTGCCAAATCAGGAGCAGCAAGTTGAACTATTGCCAGGATCAGGTGTTTTCATAACAATGCGAGCCTACGCCTATCTAACTAAAGAGACCTGGAACAGGGGGTCCAAGCTGGTTAGGAGGGTAGTTAGGGAGGTTTTTCCGGACGAACATATTCTCGCTCGGAGTAGCTGCTTAGGGAAAAGATTAGGGGGGTGCCATGTCGGGTTGGACCACCATAAAGTTGATACTATTAAAGGTTTTTAGTTTTTTTTTTGTTGATTTTGATACTATTAAAGGTTTTTGGGTTTTTTTTGTTGATTTTGATACTATTGAAGGTTTTTAGGTTTTTTTGTTGATTTGATTGTTTTTTGTTCGTTTGTTTGTTGTTTTTATGGCAAATGTTGGTGTTACCAATTGCAATGAACCAATCGCAATGAACCAATCCCAGTGACTGTCCAATCACAACTAGGCCATTTTAAATAACCAACCAATCAGCATTTGTTCAGCAAAGAATGCCCCAAGTATCACACACGGAGATTGTTGCAGCCATCAACGAGTGCTGCCGAGACATCAGGGCCAAACTTAGGAAAAGTTTTCATAGAAAGTAATTACTATTATTGTTGACGATGATGATGAAGATGACGAAGATGATGAAGATGGGGATGATGAGGATGACGATGATGATGAAGATGACGACGATGAAGATGATGTTGATGATGATGAAGATGATGGCGATGATGATTACTGCACTTTAATAAAATCAACATCTCTCTCATTTGAAATTTATAATCTAAAAACATTTAACTTTCATCCAACCCGAAAGTACAACGAATACGTCATCGCTGAAGAACGTGTGACGTCCTCGCTACGTCATCATCGTCAACAGTGACGTCATCATCAACGTCAACATAGATAATGACATCGACATCAACAACAGCATGGATAACGACGGTGATGCGGTGATGATGGTGACACCATATGCTTCATAAATTTAATTAAATTAAATTAAAACATATATATATATATATATATATATATATATATATACATGTATATATATATATATATATATATATATATATATATATATATATATTTGTATTCATCACTTTATACTAATTTACATTTGTTTAGACTTGTTTACAATATGGTACTTTAATTTTTTTTTGTCAAAAATTTTGTTTAAAAAAAATTGATTCTAATCATTTTTATTTGTTGGTTTGTTTCTCTTTGTTTTTTTCCTGTCTTTTTGATCTTATTTGATTTCATCTATTTTTGTATTTAATTAAAATTTGTAGCGCTAAGAGACAAATGAATGAGGCATACTAGTGGGTGAATGAATGAATGTATTAATGAATGAATGAATGTATGAGTGAATGACTGGATGAATGTATGAATGAATGAATGGATGGATGAATGTATGAATGAATGAATGAATGAATGAATGAATGTATGACTGAATGAAGCGAATTAACAAATTAGATATTTTCTTTACATTTCTTTCTCCGATTGATTTATCACATAATTATATTTAAAACTTTTCAAAGATAGCGATAACATGGTAGTGGCGTTCTTGATGATGATGATGTTAACAGTGACGATGATGATGATGCTGGTTGTATTTAAATTATTATTATAATAATAATTAAAATTATTTTTTTTTACGGTTGAAATTATTATATATTATATTTTTAAGGGTGCTAGATTTAAGAAATTACACTGAAAAAACACAAGATATTTATATTATATTATGTTATATTATATTACACTTCATTCATGTTAAATTTTATATATATATATATATATATATATATATATATAAATTAAATTTTAAACGTTTTTCTTCTTGCAAAATGTCTTAATTGTATATTCGTGTTTTGTTATTATTGTTGTTTTATTCATTCATTATTATTATTATTATTATTAATTTCTGGTACTTATTTTGTTTATTTCGTTTTAAATGGTAAATAATTATAAATGTGCGAATTGGTATAAATTGGTATATAAGTTAGTAAATGTGTCGAGTGAAATTTTCTATAAATTTTTAAAAAAATGTAAAAGTGTACACAAATTTTTGGGTGATCGTTCATTTGTTCATTCATTCGTTCATTCATTCGTTCATTTATTCGTTCATTCATTCATTCATCCATTCATTCATTCATTCGTTCGTTCATTCATTCATTGATTCATTCATCTATTAGTTCATACACTATTCATCTATTGATTCATTCACTATTCATCTATGCAGTCACATATTAATACATCCTTTACTCATTTATTCATTCATTCATTCATTCGTTCATTCATTCGTTCATTCATTCGTTCGTTCATTCATTCATTCGTTCGTTCATTCGATCATCTTTTTATTCATTTTTTTCTCATTCTTGTTATTATTGTCGTACGACGTTGTTGTTGTTGTTACGATATTCTCTTCATTTCTTTAAGTTTTGAAATTAAAACATTCTAAAAGAAAAAAACTATACATACAGGCAGACACATACATACACACTTACATACACACATACATACTTATATTCACACATACATACATAGATACATACATACATACATACGTACGTACATTTCATTTTGCTTCTTTTCTTATTTTCTTCTTATATTTAAACGATGGTGGTGCTCCGAAAAAATTTCCATGTTTTTTTTTGTTTTTGTGATTTTAATTTTTTTATCTCAAATTTTTTCTGTAATTTTTATTCTTATGCCGATCAACAATAATTTTTTAAAGTTAGAGTTTATTGGAAATCTAGTACATGCACGCACGCACACACACACGCACTCTCTCACACACAAACGTAAATACACACACACACACACGCACGCACACACACACACACACACGCTTGTAAATTGTTTTTTTTTGTCACTATATCTAATCAATTTTTTCTGATTTGTTTTTCAATTGAATAAAGATCTTACGGACAGATTTCTTTTTTTATATAAAATCCTCGTTTTATTTTTTGTGAGTATTTCAACATTTTAAACTAATTAACTGATTGGTTGATTAATTAATTAATTAAATAATTAATCAATTGTTTGTTTTTGTGTCGTTAATGTTTGTTTATTCTCAAATTTTTAAAAATTTGTGTGCTCTCTTAAGCCAGTCATTTAAATGTTTTTAATGTTTTTTAATTCACACACACACGCACACACTCACACACACACACATACATTTGTTAATTCGTATCATATATCAATTTTCGAACATACATATATATGTATGTACGTTCATATTTATGTACGTACGTATGTATGTATGTACGTATGTATGTATGTTTGTAAGAAAAACTAATTTTTTTGAAAAATTTTTCAAAGACATTTTAATAAAACTTTTAATCCTTACAAACGTCAGTCTGTCTATGTGAAAGTGTAATTTGTTTATTTGATAAATACAGTATATCAAAACAATTAATAATTTAAAAGTTAATTAATAGCTAAATAATGAACTTTTTCATAATAATATTAGATTAATCTCTTAAATAAATATGGATAAAAAAGCTTTCGACCGTACTTCTCGTCCAACAGTTACCCAGAAGTTGTATTTTATTTTATTTCTTTGATGTCTCATTTTTGTATTATTCATTCATTCATTCATCCATTTATTTATCTGTCTATCGATCGAGTTCGTTCGTTCTTTTTTTCATTCATTCATTTCAAATGCTTAGTCCCAAGCTCAATGACGAAGACGTAGAGAAGATGTTTGAAATTATGAATGGGATTTATAAGGCTGCCATGGAATTGGAGACTCATTTCATAAGTGTTTCAAAATCTGTCAACAAACAAGTAATCTATGTGTGCGTGCGTGTGTGTGTGAGTATGTGTGTGCGTGTGTGTATGTGTGTGAGTATATGTGTGTGTGTGTGTGTGTGTTTTCCTCACAAATGTAGAGAAAAAATTTTAAATAAAAATCATAAAATTCTGAAGTAGATTCATCAGAAAAGTTAATTTTGACCATTCAAGAATGAAAAGATAGCCATAGGAGAGGAGATTTTGAAGCTGGCATCGAAGAAGATGGAGCAAACGAAGGTTATGGCTCAGAAAACCCAACATTTGAAACGGGAGAAAGATAAGGTTTTCACTGTTTTACACTGGAAAATCGTTAATCGTTAATTTGACATAAATTCATATCAATTTTACTTATAATTGTCGATTAATTAATTAATTAATCAATTAATAACTAAAGTCAATTAAACAGTCAATCAGTTGAATAGAGACAGGATTCATTCTGTTTCACGTTGAAAAACCATTCACAAACTCGCTAAATCACATCAATTTGATGAGGATTTTTCCGAATTTAGCCAAGAAAACCAATTAATTTTAATAAATCAATAAAAATTTCTTAAATTTTAACATGAAACCCGGTTAAAATCTCTATTCTAAAAGTTGAGAGATGCGGTTTTCACTGTCCTGCAGTGAAAGAGTTTCTCACAAACATCATAAATTTCAATTATTTGATATAAATCTCAATTTCCGATAAATCTAATTAAAATCCCATATTTTAATACTAAAAACATGATCTATTCAACAGAGAAATTGTTTCATAACGACAGTAGTGATCCTGGTAATGATCCTGGGTGTTGGCTGTTCAGTCGGTTATCTCTGGTCTCTGTTTGATAGGCAAATTATTAGATGACTTTTAGAGAAATCATTTTTGTTTCTTATCTAGTTATTTAACTATTTTCAAGATTTATTTTCAAGATTAATTCAATGTATATTCTTTTATCTTTCTCTAGATTAGGAAATGACTTTTTGGAGAATTTTTGTGTTATTTGATCAATTGTTTATTTAATTAATTGGGATATACTTAGTATTAAATCAGTGGATAATTTGTATATTATTCCCCCCCCCCCCCTCTCTCTCTCTCTCTCACACACACACACACACACACACACACACACACACACACACACACACACACACACACACACACACACACACATACACTAGACGTGTCTGCTGTGTGTGTCGGTGTGTATATGTGTCTTTGAACGTGTGTAAAAGATAAACCATTACACAAATTTTAAATTTTGTTTTACTAATCAGACCAGGTGAAAGTGGAGAAATATTGTTAACAAAAATTAATGTTACTACTAAATTAATATTTGTTCCAAATTTATTAACGTCATTAACTTGAAGTTATTTAATTAATGTCATTAATAAGTCTATGTTATACATATGACGCCATTAATTTAGTGTCTTTGAGTTAATGTCGCTATCAAGAAATATTTGTTTGCAATGCTATCATAAAAAATACAAGAAAAGAAAAGAGAAGATAATATATATATATATATATATATATATATATATATATATATATATATATATATTTACAATACTCTATAAATATATATATATATATATATATATATATATATATATACAGATCAATTCATCCTAATATTTTTAAGGTAAAAAGTCATCACCATCATCATCTTCTACGTTACCATCATCATCACCGTTATCATCTTTAAATTTTGAGATCTTGGATAAACTTTTCCTTATGAATGCCATCACAAAATGGCGGTTTCCTCGTCTGCTTGCAGTTGCAAAGATGGTACTCCTTCGATTCGTCGACCGTGAATTTGTAGGACTTTATGTGCTTGGCTGGGTCCGAAATTTTGGCGTTGTACTCCCTATGAGAGTGGTCACAAAATGGCTGAAATGTTTTTGTTATTGTTATTATTGGACTAATTTCAGTGATTATTTAGGAATAATTTCAGAAATTTTTTTTTCATGGGCTTCTAGAAATCAATAGTTTGACAATTTAACTAAATAATTTTTGTCTATATTGATTGAAATGTCAATTAATACATTTATGAAAATGTTAAATAATTGTTAAAATATTTAAATATTAATAAAATATTTATTAAAATAAATACACTGACCTGTTTCTTGCTAGCCCCACACTGGCACCAACTGTACTTCTTGTCCTTAACAAGAGCCACTTTAACTGGCTTCTTATCATAAACGATTCCCTTCAGTTTGATTGGGGCTGGAGTGGCAGACATGGAATTCCTAATCACTAACGGGGCCAAGTTCTTTGTTACTTGAAATACTTTTAACAAGTAGGCCATCTAAAAAAATTTTCCTAATGTCAGATAATTGAATAATTAATTTATAATAGTCTGAAACTAAAAATTAGAGTTAGAAATTATTAGGAATCAGTAAATCGAAATAGAAAAATCCCAAATTAACAGCTTCATTCAATTAAGAAAAAAGCGTTAAGCAAGTGTTTGACAACTTAATCTAATAATTTAAACTTGTAGAACACATCATTTTCAAACAATTTCGACCATTACTAACCATTTTTGCTTAATATTTAGTTAGTTTATTAAACTTTCTTTCTAGTCTAAAAAGAGATTATTTTCTACTTAGCCAAAAATATAAATGTAAAGGTGAACTTAAGTAAACAAATGTAAAAGTGAAGTTAAGTTATAATTTTGCCACCGCAATATCATTTGCTTATCACTTAAGTAGAGAAAGTAAAGTACCTAATTTAATGGTCGTTTTTTGAGTTTATTACATGAAAATATTAAAAAATTAAACAAAATTTATGAAATTTAATTAATTTTTAAACAAATTTGCACCGGGAAATCGTTAAAATCTTAATTTTGAACTCATTATCAGCATTTTAAGTTCACAAGCAAACACGCACAAACCTTGATTCCTGCTGAAGTTAGAACTTAATTAAACTCGTCAAAATTTTAGCAAATTTGATTACAAAATTCACGTTTTTTAAGGTTATTAAAGTATAAATAATAAATTTGTTATTGTTAAAGTTATTTTTACGTAATTTAAAGTATGGAAAAAGATATTGACGTTCTCCAGCAGTACAAAAATATTGCAAATAAATTGAAAAAGTTAGTTTTTTCATTTTTTAAAAAACTATTTTTTAATTATAAAATTTTGTAAATGTTTGATTAATTTATTATTTAATAATTAAACTGTTAAATCTTTTTATTGATAATTAAGTTTTAAATAAAATCAGAATAACACTAATTAATTTCTATCAAATATTACATAATTATTCCAGAAAATTTCTCAAAAAGCCAAATGTATCAGAGGGCAGTGGGCAGTTTGGTAGGTTTTTATTTGATAACAATTCAACCAACTGTAATAGACTATAATATAATTATTACATTTTAATTATTTTATTATTTCACAGTATTTATAAATTAAATATTTAACATCATTTTATTTCTTTTCTCAAATTTCTCCATATATCGTTCTCTTGTACTGGCTACCTGTAAAATATCTCTACCTCCTTCTCTGACTTCTTCTCCATCACTTATAAAGTTCAGAGCAGATCTCAAGATCCATCTGTTTGCAAAATTCACTGAAAAGTGATGTTGAACATCACAGAAATAGTGCTTTATAAACTAATTGATTGATTGATTGGTATTTAATTTAATTTGAATAAATGTTTCTAATTTATTTTCAGGCAGCCTGGCTAGGCAGATGAAATCAGAAGACAGTCCACATTATGCAGGGTTGTGCTTTTTAGCTCAAGCAAGGTGTTATAATAATGATATAGTTAATAAATTAATTATTTTATTATGACGTAATTATTTATTTAAATATTTTATTATGATTTTCACAATTATTTCAAAGTACTTATTAGATGATAATTTGAGAGAAATTTTGTCTCCTTTTCATTCATACAAACTTCAGATTAACTTGGTTGATTTCAATAAAATTACCTCAGCACACAAACATAGACAGTTAATTAAATAACCAAAATGTTTAAATTTCTTTCCCTAATTTCTTAACACCCAGATGCGAACACACATTAGGCAATTGGTGCACTGAGAGTCATGCTCTGTTAGAGGCAGCTCGTTCGTTTATGCTGGCCGAGAAGGATATACAAGAAACCATGGGGCCATCGTTCTATGAGCACCTGAATGCTGGTATAAACTGTTACAGCCATGCTATTAGAGTTAGTTTAATTAGTGAGTTTAGTTAGGGATTGGATTAGGGACAGGTTTGTGTGTGTGTGTGTGTGTGTTTGTGAGTTTGTTTGTTTGTGTGTGTGTGTGTGTTTGTTGGTGATTGTGTGTGTGTGTGTGTCTTGTGTGTGTGTGTTTGTTTGTGATTGTGTGTGTGTGTGCGCGCGCGCGTGTGTGTGTGTTTAAATTCAATGAGTTTTATTGATGATGAAGTTATAACTGATGATGATGAGGATGATGAAGATGATGATGACGATTGTAGTAGCAGTATGTTCCATGATGATGATGGTATTCGAACAGGTATATTTGGAGAATAATCAGTACATTCTGGCTGCATCCATATGCATGGAAGTTGGCAACTTACTACAGGCCTGACTAATTCATTTAAATTATTCATAAATTAATCAATTCATAGATTAATTCATTCATAGATAAATTTTCACGAATGAATTAATTCATTCATAAATTCGTTTGTTCACATGATTTTTACATAAACATCAACTGGACAATGTTTATAATCTTATAATGAAACTCATTACAAATGTGTGAGCGTATGTATGTTTAAAAGTTAACAACATATTTATCCGTTAAAGCCTAATTAGTTGGTTTGGCTTAGGTGATTAACATAAAATATTAATTAATTAGTTAATTAATTAGTTAATTAATTTAGTTTATATGATATGCTAGGGCTTGAACAAGAGTGGCCAATCCATACAACACTATCAAAGAGCTGTTGAGCTATTACAGCCTGTAAGGTTTTTCTTTCATTCGCTCATTCATTCATTCATTTGTTCGTTAGTTCATTCGTTTGTTCATTCATTCATTCATTCATTCATTTATTCATTCATTCATTCATTCATTCATTCATTCATTCATTCATTCATTCATTCATTCATTCATTCATTCATTCAATCGTTCATTCAAAAGCATCCACTGGAATGTCTGGATGCAATGGAGGCTCTAGCAACTGTCAAACTGAACACAAGTAAAATTACTACTAGCATTTTCATTAGCACAACTGCTGCTATTACTACTTCTAATAATAGTACCAACGACAACAAATTGCAGAAGATTACGATGGCGCCCTCTCAACGTACACTGAAATGTATTATTTAGCGCTAGAGAAAGGACCCAGATGTTTCGGCGGGACCGGGTTCGAACGCGCAGTCGCCGATATTTTGGCCACGTGCGAGGTCAACAGGCTGCTGCTGCTGCTACTGCTGCAGGTTATTGGTGATGATAACGGAGGTGATGGTAATGATGATAACTAAGGTGATGATAAATGGTGATGATAATGACGACGATGATGATGATAATAAGAATTATTATTATTATTATTACTATTAATGATAATAATAATAATAATATTATTATTATTAATATTCAATCAATCAATCTTCGTTTTGCGTCCAGAGACCCGGTTTCCCGAGGTAGGACGTATTAATATTAATATTAGTAATATTAATGATGATAATAATAATAATATTATTATTATTACTATTAATAATAATAATAATAATATTGTTATTATTATTATTACACATTTTAGCCTACGCCCCAGAGAACAAGGCCTGAGCATGCAAAACTGCTGGAGAAATATCTATCAGACGTTCATGATGATCTCAACGAGGACGACGACGATGATGAGGACGATAGCAGCAATGATAGTAATAATAATTATAATAATAATTATAATAGCAATAATTATGATAGTAATAGTTATAATAGTAATAATTATAATAGTAATAATTATAATAGTAGTAATTATAATAGTAATAATTATAATAGTAATAATTATAATAGTAGTAATTATAATAGTAGTAATTATAATAGTAATAATTATAATAGTAATAATTATAATAGTAATAATTATAATAGTAATAATAATTATGCAGAAGGTGCGAGTGGCAAAGATTTTGAATTCGTTTCGCGGGAGCTCTTCTACCTACTTCAGGCCCTTGTCGTAAGTTTTGATGATGATGATGATGATGACGATGATGATAATGATGCTGATGGTGGTGATGATGATGATGGTGTCGAGACTAAAATTAAAAAAAAATGTTATCTGAGGAGGGTATCATTATTAATATCCTTATCATAATAATTGTTAATATTATTATCATCGGCATAATAATTATAATAATTTTATTATTATTATTATTATTGTTTTATTTTTCACCCATAGATGGCGAGTCAAGCGAATGACGTCAAACGCGTTCTGGCTCTGGAACCTTTGTTGATACCTCACTTGAAGAACTCACAGGTCTCCCGAATATCGAACTAATTTCAAATTAATTTCTCTTTTTTTGTTTCTGTTTTTTTAATGATCACCATTATCATTATTATTATTATCATTATATTAATAATATAACAATATTATCATAATAATCATCAGATCGAACTATTGTACGAGGTGATATGCACTAATGAGAGCCACGTGACCGATTCACTCAAAATTGTAACCAATCACATCGTCGCTAACTGCTCATTGGCCAGTAGAGATGATGACGACAACGATGATTGTGGCGCTGATGATGGCGAGAAGGATAGGAAGGAGAACCTGGTGAAGGATGACAAAACTAATGATGATAATAATAATAATAGTAATAATAATAAAAATAATAGTAATAATAATAATAATAATAATAATAATAATAATAATAATAATAATAATGATGATAAGAAGGATATCGATGATGATAATGACAATGGTAATGACAGTAGTAACACTGCTGGTAACGAAGATGATGTTATTAAAAATGATGATAAATGTGAGTGAAAACTCTCCGTCTATTTCTCTCTCTCTATCTCTCTCTCTCTCTCTCTCTCTCTCTCTCTCCTTCTATAAATATATATTATATATATATATATTATATATATATATATATTATATATATATATTATATATATATATGTATATGTCTCTATATATGATATATGTTATTTTTGTCTTTTTGGTTGTTCAATTAACTTTTTATTTTTATTACAGATATATAGAAAATATAAAATAAAGAAATAATAAAAAAAATGAGACCAGGCGTTAAGACAATGGTACAATGTATGATATGTTATATTTACATGTGCATATGTACAGATTCTAATGTAACCTATGTTTGAGGGTATTTGCGCTAAAAAACGCAACCAACAAAAAGATAGAGAATAGCATTTTTAAGAAAACAAACAAGTGAAGAAGAAGTACTTATTTGAACGGCATTTAGTGAGAAGCCCCCTCGCCACGTCAAGGCAGCCGTTCAGGAGGGGGTTAATAATAAAACGACAGTGTCTAGAAATAATAAGTAACGAATGTCTAGAAATAATAAATCACTTAACTAAAATATAACGAAATGAATATTGTGTTGATTGTCGTGTTTGATTGTCGTTGTTGGTGTTGTGTTGAACAAAAAACAATACAATACAAATAAACTAGAACGTAAGAAAGAAATAGAGTCCCTAACTTACCTATGTTCACTAAATTAACTCACCTACCTATGTTCAATTAGCTCAACTTACGAATTAATCCTACCTATTTGTAAAATTACGAAGAAGAAAGTAAGGAGAAGAGGATAAAACATCGAGCAAACAAAACAACGAATGAGTGTATGTATGTATGCATGTATGTATGTATGTGTGTGTGTGTGTTACTAATAATATCAGTAAAATAAACGAACAATTTTAGAAATAATATGTAACAATAAAATAATGAATACGTCTAGAAATAATAAAACATCTTTAACAATTTTAGAAATAATATGTAACAATAAAACAATGAATACGTCTAGAAATAATAAATAAAAAAATGTAAAATAAAAAAAGACCAGGCGCTAAGGGAATGCCACAAAGCGCCCGGTCGGGTTTCAACGCATTTTCGGCTCCTATTTATACCAGTTCCATTCATATAATCTTATCATTTCAATCATTGACATCATTAAAAAACTTGATTTAATGTATAGGAAACATTATTATAAGTGTTTAACAACAATATATTAACTATAGTAAAATGAATTCAACGAACGCCTACGGACTTCCTGATGGGTTTGGTTCGGAAATGTATACAGTAGGACAAGTTTACCAGTTGAATTCAAATTTAATCGAGATCACTCCTTTTTCACAACATAACAGTTGAAAAATGAAAATATGTATTTCTTTTATTTAATTTCTTTTATATATTTTATTTAGAATCAGTAAGAAGTTTATTGATTTAACGTTATTGATTTTGATTTTATGTAATACAATAATATACATTCTTCACAACAGAGCTATGTATGTATATATGTATGTATGTATGTATGTATGTATGTATGTATGTATGTGTGTATGTGTGTGTGTGTGTGTGTGTGTGTGTGTGTGTGTATGTGTGTATGTGTGTATGTATGTATGTATGTATGTATGTATGTATGTATGTATGTATGTATGTATGTATGTATGTATGTATGTATGTATGTATGTATGTATGTATGTATGTATGTATGTATGTATGTATGTATGTATGTATGTATGTATGTATGTATGTATGTATGTATGTATGTATGTATGTATGTATGTATGTATGTATGTATGTATGTATGTATGTATGTATGTATGTATGTATGTATGTATGTATGTATGTATGTATGTATGTATGTATGTATGTATGTATGTATGTATGTATGTATGTATGTATGTATGTATGTAGGTACGTACGTACGTACGTATGTATGTA